CCAGTACAAAGCAAGTACAAAATTAAGCTTCAAATATTATTAATGATCAAAAAGACTTGAGGGAAGAAGGGTGTTGGTAACATTTACTAAGCACCTGGTTCATGACAAACTGTATTCTAGGAATTTGACATATAATGTCTAGCATAATCCATGCAATATCCTTATAATAAAAAGCATTATAGTCTCCAGCTTTAGAAGTGAGTAAAAGGGCTACAGAACTCCAAGTGAAGACGGAAGAATTATATGTAGACCTAGACTGAGAAGCTCCCAAAGCTAGTAGGATTGCTTCTTGCATCCTGGCTCTTTCCTGAGTTCCCCACCTCTAAGACTTTAATTGGTGCCACAATGACAACACAATACCAGAGCTCCCAGAGAATTCCAACTGAAGAACAAGCCAGAGTACTCCCATCCCTTTGATTGAGGCATATCTGTCCCCTTTGGACATGTGATACTATATAATCACAAAATAATTGAATGACAAGTAATGGAGCATCAAAGATATAATCAAAGATATAATCTGGAGATACTTTTTTTTCCCACTTTTTTTTAAGGCTCAGTTTTTAGAGAGTGATTATTTAATGTATTCTTTAAATGCGTTTATTTCCCTCCTACTTTTATCAATATGCCTGCCCAGCATCCTTACCTGTAAGCAGAGTAATTACTTGCCTATAAGGTATGATTTGAGTAGTACCAAAAAAAAAAAAAAAAAAAAAAAAAAATCCCTATAGCCGTAAATATTTCTTCTGGCAGTTTCACTTAATACCTGTATTCACAACTCTTTCTCTAAGGAATCAGATAGTCACAATAAACTGCAACAATAACACTAATAATAATAATAACCACATCTAGAGAATTAAACCATAATGAACTAGTAACACCTTTGAATTAATTAATGAGCTAGAGGTTACATTGGGCAAATGAGACAGGAAATCAGAAGGGTCCTTCAAAGCAAACTGGGCTGTTACCAAGTGCTCATCCTACAGTGTCAGTCCCCTGGTCAGGAGAGCATTCAAAAGCACCCACGTAAGCAGCTACAGGGGTAAGGAGTTGAGAGAAACAACCCAAAAAGCATACTCCCTTTAACTTTAAAGACAACGAAACTGAATATAGTAAGGTGTATTAAATAGCACCACAGAAATGTCCGAACAAGGCCCAGCTAAAAGTGACTAAGAGTACCTGAATATCTACTTACTACTGACCCATGAGTGCTCCATTTCTCCCCCTTCAAATATAAAAATCCATTATTTTTAACCAAAAGATTAGATCTTTGCTTTGTATTCTTAAAAATTTAACTTAGTCTTCCATTAAGAGAAACTTTTCATGCAAATGATTTCTTGGCTCAACTGAGAATCATTAAGTAACTTTTCTACACCTAAAATCCTTCTCCTGTTAGGTATGAGTAATTATTTATGTTACATCACACACACAGAAAATAAACAACAAAGACCCCACTCACATTTGAGAACCATTTACCATTCCCACTCCCCAAGCTCCCCCCAATGGGAAATGGAATAACAAGACTGATCATAATTGGATTAAGAACTATAATTCTTTAATTCATTCATCAAATTGAGGCATTTGGAACAGTTTATTTACAGAGTTGTTTAGACAGTTTTGTGTGGTGTTTTTTAAGATAAACCAAAATGCCTTTCTGAAAGAAGTTTCAGATCCCAAATCATTAACATATGAAAACCAAATGTAGACAATTTACAAATGGGTGTTTTAAACAATGTTTGGAACAAAATTGGACTTTTATTTTATTAACTATCTACAAATCTAGGTTCAGGATATAGTTTATTTGAAACAGCCAAGCACTTTCTTTGCCTATAAAATAAGCCTACAATTCTCAGGCTAAAAATTGTGACGAGTATATGAGGGAATGCTTTGACTTTAGGCCTAGACAAATAAGTTTTCTAGGTTACTCTCAAAACTCTAATTATAGCATTCCCTACCACTGCAGGTGATTGGATATAGGGTGAAATGTCCAGGTTATGCCAATCAATTATATCCAACAATTTTACCTGATGGAAATCTAAATAGTGTTCAACCTTAGAACTCTAAGTTAGTTAAAATCCAGTGTATTGGGGGAGATTACTAACAACGAGTTTTATCCTACCCTGTATTTTACTTTTTTTAATATATAATTTGAAATTTCAAAATAATGATTGCCTATCAGTTAGTAAAAGAATAGAGCTTTTTCAAGAGGACAGTATAGTCTTTTAATTGTATCATAGTTTTCATTGGCTTTAAAAGAAAAAATTATTCAAGCATTCAAATCCATTCTTTTAACTGCAAAATGAAATTTTAAACTTTCCCTATAGCTCATGACTTGCTGCCAAAAGGACCAAAAAAGAAAAAAATTGCCATCAGACCTGAGTATAAACTTCAGTCTTTTATTTACTATTTACTTCACATACTCCGCAAATAACATCTTTACTCATTTTTTCTCTTGTACAGTCACATGTCAGTCTAAACAGGATGTGCATTTACATGTATAGAACTAAGTTAACCTGAAATAACTACTGAATCTCAAATACCTGGTTATTTACCAAATAAATTTGAGAGTTTTGAATCCTGTAGATAACATGCCATTCAACCGGAACTGTTTAAGCTCAACAACAAAACTAATACAGAGTTTCTGTGTTAAGAGTTGAAGCTCTTTTTTCCTGTACTAAGAGTTTACTCTTCAAGTCTATGTCAGATTGATTCAATATTGCCCATTCAAAAGGCTACAAAAAGAGATTTTTAAAAACCTACAAGCAAACAAAAATCTCTATTAATTCTTCATGCACAAGATTGTTAGAAGACCACTGGAAAGAAAGGAAAAAAAAAAAAGAATTTCAAGCGAGTATGCTACTATATAATTAACATAAATAACTAAATAATTATGCACATCCCTTCCCACCCCCACAATTAAATGTTTTTAAACAACTCATGTGATGAAAGATCTACCTTTTAGGCAAACAAAAGCAATCTCTACCAGTCTGAGGATTTAAAGCTGTATTGCATCAGTTTTAAGTGATGCTTATGATTTTTATCTTCTACAGTTCTGAAGAATAAACAGTTGATGACATAATTTGCAGGAGAACTTTGCACAATGCCTAAGAGAACTTTCAGTGTAAGTACTTTTGATTTTAAATCATTGTGGCTGAATTTATCTAGGCTTCAGCCTGGGAGCTATATTTAAACCAAGAAGAAGCAACCCTAGAAACTTTGTCCCCATGCATCTACATTTGAGACCAGATTCTTTCCCTATCAGAGTTAACAACACTTCACAAACAGCTGAATTCCTTCAAAATTAGACAAATCAAATTTTTTGCAGTTCTGTGAAGACTCTAAGACCGTGTCGGTCCTCCTTTTAATTCTGCAAAAGTCAAACTTAAAAAACATTTCCGTATACTTTAAACCCATCTGGCCCTTCACCTAATCACTCTTGGCAATCGAGCCTCACTCCTGTAATCCTGATCAAAAACTCTGCTCTGTTTTTTCTGATTGAAATATCCATTGCCTACAAATCTCCCACGCGCCTACTTCATTGGCTTGTTTTGTTTGCGTGGGCTGTTTTTTTTTTTTAAGGATACTAGGGGCCATTATTTATGAGCAGCAAGGAAACAAATCACTCTGTCTAGTCCCTTTGCAGATTCCCACACTTATTACCCAAAATCCCACAGATCTCCCTTGGTCTTGCCCTTGACTGAAGAATTGTGCTGAGCCTGAAGGCAGTCTCTGGGGAAATCGGCTCATGCCTTTCTTGACAAACTACTTTGGATATCTGGATATTGTGAGGCTCTCAACTGGGATAGAACAAATCCCTAAACTTTTCTCAAGAAGTACAGTAGACTGCCACCCAGACTGCCTGGGTATGGCTCTGCATATTCACAGAATTCCTCCTTTCGACCTGCTTTAGTTGAGAAGGGAAGACATTAAGATGAATTCACCTTCACCACACTCTGAATTTAGTCACAGAGGCCAGCGTCTTCATATGCTCACCGGGGTCCATCTATTTATTAATATACTCGCTTTGCAAAGTGCAAGGAAAACGACCATTAAAATATGTAAACAGTGCTTCATGTACCTCCGACGCCAGCAGATCAACACTCAAGAAACTGCTGCTACCCAACGCAAATATTTCCAAATCCAATTTGATTTTAACTCGGATAACCTCTTTTCCTTGCTGATGACTGTAGCCCCCAAAGTGCGAGGGACATTTCCCAAGCCCGCGCTTCAAGTGACACAACACGTGAGTGGTTTCACTTCGTACACTGAGGAGGGTGGGGGTGGGGGAAAAGTAGCTGCAATTAAAATTAAAGCTTCCGGTCTCTGGAATCCCTAGAATTCTGAAGGATGAGACGCATCTCCCAAATTCCAGGCGGGAGAGAGGAGGACTGCTAGGGAGAGGGACTGCAGAAAGCGAAACAAAAAGACGACAGGGGGGAGGGAATATTAGGACTGTGGGTTGGGCTGGGGGTCGCGCTTATATTCTAGAAAGGGTAGAGAGCTGTGTCCAACTTTCAGGCTCTGTGGTTTGGCGTCAGCCGAGATGCACCGACCGGCCTCGGGTCTTCCCTGCACTCCTGCCCCGCGCCCGCATCACCGCCTCCACCGCCACCACTTCCAAAACAATACCGGCAACAGCGCGCAGGCTCCCCCAACAAACACCTAAAGTTATCCCGTTTCCTGAACGGGGTCCAAGCCCACGCTCCGAGGCGCCCCCCCCCCGGCCGGGCGCGCCCCCCCCCCCGAGGATGCCAGGGCCACCTCAAGTGCCGAGCCGCCTCCCGCCTCCCCCCCCCTCACCCCCAGCCCAGTCCCCCTCCCTCCGTACTTGAGGAAACTCCGGCGGCGGCCCCCTCCCTCCTCCGCCGGCTCTCCAGCTGGAGCCGGGAGCGAGTGCTGAGTGGCGGGCACCGCGAGCGGCTGAGGGGAGCTCTGCGCCTTGGAGGTCTGCCCACAACAACATCGGGACGAACAACAAAGTTAAAACGCTGCGATTCACGCACCTTACCGGGTCTCCTTAATGTCTCCTCTGGCGTGGGATGCAAAGTGGCACAGTGGCGGGCTGGGGGCCCCCGGGAGGAGACTGGAGATGGGTTTTGGTGGCTCGCCTTTTTTCACTCTGTGTGTGTGTGTGTCTGTGTGTCTGTGTGTGTGTCTGTGTGTGTGTGTGTTTGTGTGTGCGCGCGCGCGCGCGTGTCCCTTTCCCCCCCGGCTCTCGCTCGCTCGCTCTCGCTCCCCGTGTGGCTCTCAAGGACGAGGTGAAATCCCTTTGCTGGTCATGAGGCGGCTTCAGAGACAAACAACACAATGCGAGTGCAAATAACAAAAGGCAAAAAGACAGTAGGAACAATGGGGGAGGCGAGGGCAGCGCACCAGCCGGCGGTCACCGCGGCCCGGCGCCCGCCCCGGGGGTTGCGGCGGGGGCGGGCGCGGGGGCGGCGCCGGGGGCTCCGACTCGCCCCAGGTCGCCCCCGAGCTCCCGCAAACCCACCCTGACCTCCTCGCTGCAGCTCGCCGCCGGGCCGCCCTCTCTGTCCATCCGAAGGAAAGGAGCCCCGGAGTTTGCTTCCCCGTCTGCTGCAGAGTAACTAGATTGTAAATAACGCGGCGATTACCCACACGGTGCAGGAATGTTTCAAAAAAAAAAAAAAAAAAAATCTGCCCTCCACTTAAAGGAGCGATAAAATGCAATGGAAGGAGTGGAAGGAAGCAGGGAGAGTGGGCTCTCCCCAGATCTCGGGGGAGCTCGCAGCTATAAATACGCATTCGTGTTTAGTCAGGTCCCCTTTGTCAACTTCTTCCCTGCGCTGGGACCTCACCCGCAGCCCTGTCCCCATTACCTGGGCCCCTGCTCGCCCCTCACCCCCGCCGGCACCACAGTAAAGCTCGCACGGGGGGCGCGTGTGGGGGTCTGCGGGTGTCGGCGGAACCTTCCGGGAGGCGAGCCGCCGTCTGCCCGGCGCGCAGGCGGGAGCGGGGAGAGGTTCGGGGTTTAAAGCGACCACTCCCTCCCCCCCTCCGAGCCCCGCGGTGCGCTCGCGGGTCGCCGCCGCCGGCACTTGGAACCCACCTACTCCGTGGGGGTGCGGGGGTAGAAAAGTTTTCAGGCGCTCTCAGCCCTGCCTCCCGGGGGGCTGAACTGGTTTTGTTCTGTGTGGTTGAATCCCAAAGACCCAATGCCCGAGACCCAAGGGATGATGTTGAGGAGGGAAAGGCTCCGCGACACTGGAGTAGCGCGTGGAGGCGAGCGAGACCCTCAGAGTTACATCCCCACGGGAAGAAACTCCGTAGGTGATGCCCGGAGCCGAAGCCGTGGGGCCGATTTAAGTGTGTGCTCTGACAGCTCCCGGGATTCTCTCTTCCAATCTTACTTTCATTGACTTATGACAGCTGCGGGTTTGCCAGGGGTAAAAAAAAAAAAAAAAAAAAAAAAAAAAAAAAAAAAGGGGGGGGGATGAAGCCCTATTAAATCTCAAACCAGGATGGAGCAGGGATGGCGGGGGGCGGGGGGCGCGTTGTGGGAGTTGGGGGGGTACCACTGATCTTCCTAGAACTGGTGTCCAGAAAGGAGCAAGGAGGGAGACGTTCACCAAGGAGGCAGCGCGTCTGAAAGAGGGTGATGGACAAGGGGACTCAACACAATACGAGCAACACGTTTCTTTTCCTCGCCCTCCCTTTCCTCTTCTCCAGCCGAGGTGCATGTTCTCTTTCCTTCTCTCGGTGATTTTCTTCAGAGGCGCATCCACTGACTGGGCCGTGTTCCTGGGCACCCTTAGCATTTCCCAGAGTGCAACACCACCACCAGGAGATCAATGACCACGGTCTGTTTCTTCTTCACGCGCCTGGAAGAGCAGGGTGCTGAAGCTGAATGGGAGGTAGGCTTGGGACTTGCCTGTCAGTGCGATCTCTCTCAGACTTTTCCTGGCTGGTTTCTAAATGGCAGCTACTAAGCAAATATAGTTTCTTAATGCACGCAACACGTACCAATCACAATACATTCACCTAGAAAAGTGATACATCCTTTCTCCCCCCCTTTCCACCCTTCGTAGATTTGTTTCTGGAATTGGATTGCTAATACCTGAGATTTTGCACTTGCCTAGAGTGGAAACTTTCTGGGGTGTTTGATGATTGATTATTTGGTACCTGCTTTCTAAAAATGGCTAAACACCTTTCCTTGGAACAAAAGTGAGAAATGCAAACCTTAATAACTCAAGGCAAAATTTTCAAAGTGTAAGCACAGTTATTATCCACTCCCACAAAGAAAAGCTTCCTCTTCCACAAATATTTGATAGCAGAGAGCCCAGTAATTAAGAGAACAATCAAATAAACTCAGGGCTTTCATAGGGACTCTAAATTATCATCTGCCTAGAATTTATAAGCAGTGCAATCATTTGCTGCTTAGATGTAGCTCTGGATATGGCATTCTAAATGTGTATCCTTAAACAATTTTACTATGTTTTCTTAAGTATTTAATGAGAGAGACCAGGGATAATAATAACATTCGAATTGCTGGATCAATGTGTCTTCACCAACTGTGTGAAAAAAATTCTCTGCACGTGTGCATGAAACACCTTTTTCCTATATGCTACTTTTCCTCGCATTTCTTAAAACATGCAAGCTTCATGTCAGACCCATTTCATGAGAATGTAAGAATTCAGAAGAACTTATCAATAATTGCACTATACCTTGAATATAAGTATTATTTTTATTCTAAGGAGTTCTTGGCGTACATTAAATGGTTTATTCTCATAGTACATATGTAGTTGCTTTTCACGGTTAGCTATTACTATGTCAGACCCCGATCCTTACATAATAATGTGCAAGAGGCGAATCAGTCCCAGCTACAAAACAAAAAAACAAAACAGAACAAAAAAATGGCCCCTTACTACCAATTATACCATTCGAAAAGAAATTGCTGTTTACAGTGATCTGCCCCTAAGTTTTAATCCATTTCTCTCAGACTCAGTGAAAATAAAAGGGAGAGAGTGGATCTTTTTTTCCCTGGGTCTCTGGACAATGGGTGAAAAACATGCCTGCTTGGCCTACCCCCGCCAAGCAGAGCACTGCCATCTCCAGCTTCTACAGCTTGTTCGGTGTCACCGCTCCCAGGGAAGGAGGCTTCCTACTGGCAGGAGAGGTGAGGCGGGGCAGAGCGAGGGAAGGGGTGAAGTTGCTCTCGGCCTGGTAAGACACTGACGGAACTTGAATTACACCAATCTCTTCCCTACTGCCCCTACAGGCAGCAACTTCCAACCATTAGGGTTATTGAAACCACATGCCCTTAAGACTAAGTCATGATCATTACATGGCAACAGCATAGCTGATCAAAAACTTCCAGTGGGATGTTTATTTGTGTTGGACTCTAAAAAAATAGCCACGTTTGAAGTGGGTCTGACACAATAAAGATCAGTGTTTCCGTTTATCAAGCATTTACTCTGTGCCAGGCTCTTGGCCAAGTGCTTCCTCTACCTATTTTGTCTCTACTTCTTACCACAAACTTGCAAAAAAATGCTGCATCCCCGTTTTGCAGATGAAAAAAAACAAAGCTCAGAGAGGTGAAGTGACTTGCCCAAATCATAGAGCATCTAGGTGGTTGTGCCAGAGTGGGAATCCACAGTGCGCCAGCCCTAAGCCTGTGCTCTTCTTCCTCCCCGCGAGGCCACTTACACTTTATATTAGAGTCAGTTATCAGTGGGAAATGTTGAGTCATTAAATGGGTAGATTTAAAATGCCAAATGTATCATATGTAAGGTCCAGACATGAGCTGCTTTGGTATTCTCATTGCATAACTGAAATTTTCCAGGAAATTGAAATTTGCCATATATTGAGTATACACATCTACTATATAGTAAACATAAAATGCATTTAGAAATGTATACAAAAACATAAAATTGTCTTAATTTGTAGACTAAGCAATTATATATGCATAAGTATATATTCATATGGTGCATATTATAATACAATTACTAAAGTTTTTTAATCCCTGTAACTTTACAAGTATGTTCTAAGTGCTTTTGGGCATAAACTCAACTAATCCTCACAACTGCCCATGAGGTATGTGATTTTATTATATTATTTTACAGATAAGGAAACTGAAGCACAGACATAAACATTGAAAAATGTTTTAAAAAAGAAACTTTAAAAGACTCTTAATCACTTTGCTATGCTAACTTATATACACATACAATATACATACACGTATTCCTGGATACATATACTATATATAGCTCTCAAAATAGGGGGGGAAATTAAGGCAAATCAACTGAGATTTGTATCAATCTGCATTCCCCATATTCTATAGATATTGCTGATGGGAGAGAGCTTTATTTTTGTCCAAGGTATTCAAGATTCTTTAAAAATGAGCTCCTGGGTGACTCAGTCGGTGGGGCATCTGACTTCTACTCAGGTCATGATCTCATGGTTCATGGGTTCGAGCCCCGCGTCGGGCTCTGTTCTGACAGCCAGCTCAGAGCCTGGAGCCTGCTTCAGATTCTGTGCCTCCCTCTCTCTGACCCTCTCTTGCTCACGCTCTCTCTCTCTCTTTCTCTCTCTCTCTCTCAGAAATAAATGAAACATTAATTTTTTTTAATAAAAATAAAAATATTTAAGGCAATTTTAATCCCCCCAACATATTTAGAGATATTGAAGAAATGCTAGTAAATATTAGGAATATATAATATTTGACCCTAACTGATTTGCACAAAGTTCACCTGGGATTTTTTAGGTCATCTATGTTAAAGACAGCAGAGACAGGGTACTTGGGAATACTAAAGAAGATAGAGAGGGATAATTAGGAAAAAAAAAAAAAAAAAAACATGAAAATTTGTGGCCTGAGAAGCAGAGGGAAATTTAGGTGATGCAAGAGACCCAAACTGGAACATCATTTTAATAGTTATGAATTACCATTAAAAAAAAAATAGTGTAATTTGTCAACCGTCACTCCATTAACAAGAGTGTATTATAAAATGGTAATTTAGGTTTAGTGATTATGGACTGAACACCAACACCACTCAACAGAATCTTAAAATACTGGATAAGAATCCCAGGTTCATGAGTGGCTTGTCCCGTGTCTATTTTTACCTGTCTCACCAAACACAATATGCATATCAAATTTTAGAAGTGAACTTCTTCAAATCAACCTTCTTTG